GCATTGGGATGACCCGTGGTGTCGTGAATTCTCCGGGAATACTGCTACGATATATCCCATAAACATGACATCACAGCCACAGCTATGCTTGAGAAGTCAATGTGGATACGTATATGTATATACATGTAATACATGTAATCACTTACACCTGTATATTTTGTAGGACAGCCACTAATCAGGTACAGAAGTGAGTTGCAGAACCATCTCAATATTTTTGATTGGCAAGTTGACTCTCATCCCTGAATTGGATGAAAGGAACATTGGAAAGGAACCCACTATTTTTATGAGAGCAATATGTTTTCCTGCAATGTTTCCTTTTGAATCCTTTTGATCTATCCATTGAAAGTCACTGCAATGTTCCTTATTGTTTCTATCATTTCTGACGGCTACTGTTTGTTGATAGAGCTCATGTGACATGGTTTCTCGTTTCTCTTTCTATCTATTTCTATCATTTCTGATGTCATCTATGATTTTTTGTTAGTTACATTGACATTCTGTGCAGGTTCAAAAGCCATCCACATCCCCACATCCCCACATCCCAAACGATCTCCGTCGAGGGGGTCATCTTCCTCAATGCCATTTGGTTGTCCATCGACATCGATAACAACTCTGCGGCCGTTCTGGTGGATGCCTCGCCCATTTTCATTGCCACTCGGCTACCGATGATCGGTGGAGCTAGCTGCTAGACTTTTTTCATGGTAGAAACTTGGATTGTTCATAATCCCAGTAGTACAAACAATAGGTATAACAGTGGTATATTATATTAATGTATATTAACTATAAGCAGTAGGACTCAGTGGGATATAGTGATTCACATCCTGAGGTTATTGGCTTGATGCACCTCGGCATCCCAATTGGTAAGTGTTCAGTACTTCGATATAAACATGGTATGCCGCACTTACCCTCTGGTTATTTAACATAGCCATGGAAAATCACCATTTTGAATAGGTAAACCATCTATAAATGGCCATTTTCCATGGCTATGTTAAATAACCAGAGGGTAAGTCTATTTTGTCTGCTGCACGATGGGATATCCCCAGTTGTGTATGAGGCTTGCAATCCACTTGCTCAAGTCCAAGTAGTTAAGCCCATGAATAGGGGCTTTATTATCCATGCTTATCCCATCGATGAAGTGGAAAGGTGGATCCTCCAAATGGGAATGAACATTAACCGGATTTTGAACAGCTATATTATGTGTTCTGGAGGGTAGAAATTGGAGAATCGCCCCATACATCCAAACCCTGGTTAGGGTTGGTGTTTTTATCTTTTTTTCCACCAGCCAAGTACAAAAATCGGATCACCCTAGGAGCTAGAAACTTCCATTTATAGTGGATTTCCTCATGTTCTCCCATGATTTCCCATATTTTCTGCCAGGTGAGGGTCTCTAGATTTTATCAGACTTGCTTTCTCCTTCTTCTCCTCCGGTCGGATCTCAACTGCGAATGCCGGATCTCAGTGGGCACAGCCGGACCTCAACTGCGAGCGCCAGATCTCAGTGGGCACTGCGAGACTTCAACCGCGAGCGCCAGACCTCAGTGGGCACTGTCCGAACGGCGAGGGCCAGACGGGGTTAATGGTGAAGGCCAGATCTCGGTGGGCACTGTCGGAACAGCGAGGGCCAGACCTCTGTGGGCACTACCGGACCTCAACTGCGAGCGCCAGAGCTCAGTGGGCACTGCGGGACTTCAACCGCGAGTGCCAGAGCTCAGCGGGCACTGCCGGACCTCAATCGCGAGCACCAGACCTCAGTGGGCACTGGCCGGACCTCAACTGCGAGTGCAAGATGTCACATACAATGTCAGATAGAATGCCTGATAGAACAGAGACAATTTTAGATACATATGTGATGTGATGTTTTGATGTGGTGTTTCTGTCAGGGTAGGGACGTGACCTTGTTGGTGGCTCGCAGCAAGATCCGGGTTGGCGTACCAGCTAGGCAGTTTGCAGAATATACGTCAGATTATATATCACAATATCTTATATGCCTTGAAATGCCATGGTGAGGATTACTTGAAGTAAAGTATATAACTTCCATGTTTTTTTTCAAAAATCGGGTGCGGGTTAAAGAGCGTTATGACAACCGCTTATCTGTCGCTGCTGGGATGATCCGTCGTGGCGGCAACGCCTGTCATTGACTGTACCCTTCGGATTGGCCCACAGCGGGACAAAGCCATCTACATCAAAAGACGAACAGGATACATAGAGGTAGGCATATGTATATCATACACACATTCTATGATATTCATGATATTCCATGTACATATATAGATATTATATAGATGTAAATTAGTACATACATATATATATACGTATATATTATATTATATATATATACACCTTGAGAACCAAAACCCGCAGAAATCTTAGGGTTTGAAAAATACCGGAGCTTTTCAGGAAAAAACAGGGTATTTTAACCATTTTGAAAGTACGGGTTAGGTACGGGTTAGGTACGGGTTAGGTACAGGTTAGGTACGGGTTAGTACGGGTTAAGTCCGGGTTAGGTACGGGTTAAATACGGGTTCAAAATCAATACCCGAGATCTTCAATCGAAAACCGAGTTTTTTTTTTTTATTTTTTCCGAAATACCTCAGGTTCTTGCGTTGATCCGAAGAATTCTTAGGGTTTTGGGTTTCCAGGTATCTATATATATATATATATAGAGATTACAAACATGATGAAATGACTAATCCTCTCTCCCTATTACTGAAGCACCCCCCACATGGTAAACACGGTGATCTATTTTTATTATTAGGGGGTAGTTTGTATTAGGGTGTCCCTAATATTCGAATGAAAAACCCTAATAATTAAAATAATATCTACATAAAATATTGCCAAAAACTGGATTTCGAAGTTTTCCCCTAATATTCCAATGAATACCTTAATAACAAAAATAGATTCAATTTCAAATTTGATTAAATCAAATTAAATCCCTTTTTAATATCTATATAAAATATTGCCCAAAACTGGATTTCGAAGCCTCCCCCTAATATTCCAATGAAAACCTTAATAATAAAAATAAAAAATATAACTTGTGAGATGGGACCCTAATCACAAAAAACCTCCAGGTGGCAATCTTTTTATTAATAGGGGGTTGAAGGTTGAACCCATTGTTTCACCATCCTGTTCTCCTATTGATTCTCAATTACCACAATTAAGAATCCAATTGTGCCCAGCCAAAAAAAACCGGAAGTGCCACATCAATCCTTTTTTTTTAAATTTTGGGGAGTTTTAGTGATAGGAAGAAGGGATTGTATTACATAATGTGTACTTAGTGCATATGTATCTATGTACAAAATATATACCCTCTGGTAATTTAACATAACTATGGAAAATCACCATTTTTGATGGGTGAATCCACTATAAATTATCATTTTCAATAGCTATGTTAGTTTACCAGAGGGTATACCCAGGTGATGGAGAACATGTTCTGTTTATTCTTCACTGGCGAACTGCTGATCCGTTTCTTCGCCTTTGAACCTTGGAATCGCCCTGTTGACCGGCTGTCCGATCGGTGCAACCAGACGTGGTAAAATTGTGGGGAGATCACTGGTAAACGATGGTTGATCAAGGATCCATGGTTAGTATCTGAACTCTCATCTACAGTTTCTAACCATGAATAACAATGGTATAGCCGAATCATGGCTCTGTTTTTGAACATTACCCCATAAATCCATGTATCAATCATCATTCTCCCTACAGAAACGGAGATATCATGGGCTATGCCATGCCATGCCGTTTTGGTTGCGTGGATCAATGGGATATACCGATATACCATGATATACCCCAAGATGTCCATTTGAATTTTGAACATGTGGGGTTTGGAGTGGCCGTGTAGACTATGTTCAGACAAATCAATCTTGTTTGATCAGTTTGCACCCTCCAGTAATCAAACATAGGCATGGGAAATACCCTATGAATGGAGGTTCATAGCGGGAAAATCATTTATCAATGGGGAATTTTCCACTGCCATGTTTGATTACCGGAGGGTAAACCAAGGCCAGAAAAAGAGATTGCTGCAAAGATTTCTGGTTTGTTTTCGACTGCGTTGTGAACATCTACATGGTCGGTGAGACGTGGTTGGAGCAGCAGTTGGACTAGCGGATGGTATTTGGGTGGATAGTTGAAGGGCAAGAATCAACAAAATTTGTTGGTGATATCGTTTCTGGTTGGTGGTGTCAAATCTGTTTGATTTTCAGATTTGGGATGATGAATTTGAGGGGGGATTGAAACCACCAACTTGGCAGCCCGAAACGCATTGAAAAATTCCCGGAACCATTTCCAGCTGTCATCTGCCCGAAATTCACAACTTGCGAATGCTTGCGATTTGAAGATCCAATATCGGTACGGTCAAAATTATTGACCCCATGTTGTATCATGAAAATTACTATAAACCTGGACCTTCATTCACACGCAAATTCTTGTGTACAAATTTTGTACAAATGCTCATTGTACACATGTTTGGTGATTTGTACATCTTTTCGCTGAAATGGTGTGCCTCATGCAAAAGAAGCAACATAGCACCTTTTCAACTAGCAACACCAGATTAGGTTGAATCTCATCACTTCATTAAATCCCATGTTTGAAAGCATATAAATATATTAGATCCCCATATGAATTTATGATATGAATTATATAGGCATAAAATTAGGTTATAGGTGGGAAATCCCGAGAGATATGGACATATCCTGGTTGGTGGTTTCAAACATTTTTTATTTCCATAATATATGTGATAATCCTTCCCAACTGACTTTCATATTTTTCAGAGGGGTTGAAACCACCAATCAGATATGGGTCGCTCAGGTGGATCCTGTCCTTGATCCTGCTGCTCAGCGATGTGACCACCACAGAGGCGTGGTGTTTTGCCAACCGTTGCCGGGTCCATGAAGGAGATGAAACAATGGTGGTTTTTATAGGGAAAATGAACACACATGATGACTAACCAATTTTTTTTGATGATATTCTCAGACTTAAGATCCCAAACAGAAAAACATGTGGAAAGGTGCGGGGGGGGTACCATCCACACATTATCCACACCAAATCCCTGGCGGTGTGGTGCATCGTGGTAAAAAACACCATCCAATAAAAATTGTTGCTATCCATTGGATAATTGTGTAATATATTTTAATCATCGTGGTTTCTAAATCATAGTTGAAGATTGTTGCTATCCATGAAACATAAAGTACAAAAACATGAAATGAACGCTATAGTGCAATGAAGAGCATGTGATCCACGAAAGCAATAGCAGGGCGGGAAGCAGGACAATAAAACAAACCCAATTTGATTTGGGGCTAACCATTGTGTTGTATACCATTGTATACCCCTTCTTGGGATAACTTATAACAGCCCCCTTCCATAGTTGATGATTTGGATGGTTTCTGGCATTTTTCCTCACCCACCAGTTGTCATTGTCAGGCAGTTTTTGATGCATCGGCCCTGCGCATTATCCGCACCTCGGTATGTTGAGGCTGTTGTCCAGCAACTTTCGAGACATACAACGCCCCATTCGTGGAGTGGAGGGCTCTCTGACATATCCTTTGCCATGTGCTGTCCGAAAGACCAGAGAGACCAGAAATTGGGGACAGACAGGCTCCAGAAATTTGAGAGGATTGGGTATATGGAAGACCGTCTAACCCATATGTTGGGAGGCCACTTTCTACTCATCCCATTTCGACGCCAGATCATGTTTCTACCCATTCCCATTCATTTTTGCAAGTGCTGACCAATCACCTGGCAATAACCCCAAAAGATTCTTTGAACAAGCAGCCTGTATATAGAATGTTTTTATTTTGGCCAGATATATATATGATTATATATATATGATTATATATATATGATTATATATATAATATTCATTTATATATATATATTATAATATACATTATAGAATTCATTTCTATTGCCAAACAACACCCCAGGACTATCTTCCCACAAGTCTTGTTGTTCACAACTGCCCGCTTGAAATATTCCTGGATCCAAGCAACTGGGTCCTGACAAAACCTTGGTAAATACCGCAAAAAATATCAAAACACAAATAGTGTAATTATATGTATTTATATAGTCACTGTAAACCATAGCACACATATAATTAGTTATAGTTAAATGATATTAAATATATATATACATATAGAGACAGTATAAATCATAATCATGCATAGAACCCATCAATTAACTCCGAGAGGTTTAATCAGAATCATGTACAATATGTCGGTTAAACATGATTAAAAGTAAATTGGATCATTCAGAAATTCATTTCACCATTAGACAACATTATATATAATATATATATATACATATATATATGTATAATATATATATATGTATAATATATATATATATATGTATAATATATATATATATATGTATAATATATATATATATGTATAATATATATATATGTATAATATATATATATGTATAATATATATATATATTATACATATATATATGTATAATATATATATGTATAATATATATATATATATATATGTATAATATATATATTATATATATATTAATAGTAAAATACCCCAGATGAATGATGAACATCCAATCCAATGGACCTCAAGGTCCGCGCCACGAAACTCGAGGCATGGTGAAGATTTTGCGCTTGTCGCGCATGGCCAAGCTCTTGCGGGCCATCCCGGAGTTGAGCATTGCCGCGTGGACCAATAGGGATACGGATCATCCCACGGCTCGCTAGTGGGTGAACCAACCCCACGATATTTTTTGATAGGGGGAATAACCATCCATTCACCAGCGAGTTTTTTTAGAGTACAGTTTGGGTACCAGGGTTTTGACCTATAACCAGATTTCATCCAGATTTCTTTGTCTGTATGAGGGGGATATCAATGGATGTCGTAAAGTGGCCCTTTTTTTTAGAGGGACAATGGTGAAATACCAATGGGGATTTTGCGGTAGCCTCGGACAAACCCGCATATTCCAACATATATGTGTGATGCAATAGTGATCTCATTATGGCAATCAGAAAGATGGGGGGGTTGGATAGTTGTGGGTCAAACCCCTGGGGGCCTCTGGCTGCGGAAATAGGTCCTAAAAAATGTTCATCCCAAATGGTACTGTCATATACTGTCGTACAGGTTTTGACATGTTTTGAGCCATCCTCAAATTATGTCCCAACCCCACCAAGCCTGGGAAGTGCTGATTTAGTTTGGTTTCTTCCTAGGGAAGAATCTCAAGGAATGACAAAATTCTGGGCAGGTTTGGAAACGGTCATAGTTTCCCAACGAGTACAGCATGGGCAAAAAACAGTGAATATTGGTGATGTGAATGTTTTTCATGTGTTATTTCTACATCCTGAAGTAGATTGAATGTTCGTCAACATTTCCAGATATTTCCATATTATGCATATACATTTCCAGGATTTTCAGCCCAGGGGAACCCCGAAGTTTGGATGAGTTTCCACTGGACTTTTGGCCATGTTCGATTACCCAAATAGATCTGGATTAAAAAAGGAGGTCCCTCACAGCAACCAAAAAATGCCACCATGCCAAAAATATCTGTAAATGATGGCTAGGAGGGAAGACCACCCTAAAATGGACAAACATTTCAGGTGTCGTTCACGGGGGTAAGCATCATTCGAGGGTCTTTGTTGGTAAGATAGAACCTCCAAACAGATGCAAGTACTCGTAACATCCAACATCATCCAACCCTAAAGTAGCAAATTTGGAAAAAATTGGCCTTTCTCTTGCCCACATCGGTGGATTACTGTAATCATCCAACATCATTGGCAAATTTAAGGATGATTACTGTAGAATGTTTTTTCATCATCCACCATTTGGATGTCACCAAAAATTTCTGGCAAAATACCAATCAATTTTCATGGGTAATCCAATTTTACATTAGTAATCATCCATCATTACCAAACAAATTCTCCTTCCTTGGGGATGACTGTTGGTATTCTCTGCGGCCTCGGCAGGTCATCAAAGCCATCGGCGCGGCGGGACGCTCCATGTTGGACACCTGGCGGAAGGACACAGAAAATGGGACTCGAACAGTCAGGAGGACTCGGAAAAAATGTTGGTTGTAGAATTTTGATCTAGTATGTTTATGTATTTTTTCCCATTCAGATAGCCACTTTGGGGCTTGCCCAAACGACAGTCCCAACTGCGAACATTTGACCAACAAAAAGGGTCACCATGGGTGAAGAATAGGAGGAATATCCGTTCAGAAAATATGGGATCATGTGACCTGATTTGTTCGGTGATATAGTCATAGCCATCCATAGCCCAACAACTGCACATTGAGTATGCTGGAACTGGTTGCCACACTTCGCTTATTTCTGGTGAGAGGTCAAGATTTGCCCAGATATGGCTATAGATCAGGCACCTGTTGGTATCAAGCCGTGCAATTTGAGGTAGACAATTGACGAAAAATGGGTATGTAATCCACCAAAAAATGGTGTTCTATCACTTTTGCGATGCTCGTGATAGAACTTCTAATTCCCAGGACCTGGGTCAGCCTGGGAAGATCTTTGATACACCAAAAAACCATGTGTATTCGTTGTGTTCATCCCTCAGACGATCAGACGAACTTCCCCAGATTTGACCATTTGATGTGCCAACTTGGGGGCTACCTTTGACCAAAACAAATCATTCCGAATTCCGAATCATCCCAGTTTCGGTGGACCAATGGCTATGGCCCAGGTGATCGCAGTGTTTTGTTTGATGGTGGTCTATGTCTTTGCCTTAACCCTGAAGCAGATAACCCTCATAGCAGCCTGGCTGCGGCCGATTGGAGCCGGGGTTTTTGTTGCGGGACTTGGCTACTAGGTGATGGATGGCTATTTGTGAGGTTCCCATCCCCAAAATGAGATGATGCAACTTGGGAAAGTCTTTGGATTGAAACTTGTTGAAACCACTTTGATGAACTGTATCACTTTGATTTTGTGACCTCGACTTGCGGAGTTTCCACTTCACTGCACCAGTGGCTGTGGCCGCAAAATCACGCTGACTATAAAACCTGCCAAAATAGGATGGTTACAAAGAATCACCAACCATTTGTTTGCATCATGACGTTGCCGAACAAGTTGAACCAATCCCAAAAAATGACTAATTGTGATTTTACCCCCGCCGAAGGCCCTTTGCTCTGAGGTAAACACAGATCCTTCCAACGCCGTTGTTGCGAGAAATTTCGACTCTGTCCTTTCAGCCATGAACCTCTGCCCAAAGCTGTGATTGCAGTGTGGGCGGCTGTGGGTGTAACCCTGCAACCAACCACATGACATGTATGTTCCACCACAAAAAAAAAAGTTCGCTGCAAAACCCTACGTTTGCCCGCGGCGAATCCCGCATATACTTTGACATGCTCAAATCCCTGCGTAGGGTTTGACTTTTTTACTTTCCAAAACAACAAACCCTAAAACCCTCAAACCCTAAAACCAAAAACTCAAAACCCTAAAACCTAAAACTCTAAACCCTAAATTAAAACCCCAAATCCTGAAAACTGAAAGTCAAAATCACTGCGTATAGCCAGTGTTTTCATTCATCCTTTGGTGACAAGTATATCATATTGTTTGGATGTGTTGTTTGAGTGTGGCGAACCCGGGGTTTGGAGGGAACAAGTTCTATACTATACTATACTGTAGGTTTTGATCATTTTGCTCCAGCGCCAATTCTCCGGATTTTTGCGGGAACATACATTTTGGATCATTTTGGGACATGAACATCCAGGGCTGCCAGGGTTTTGATACATAGCCACGTATCCTCCAGAAGTGGTTTTTTCTGACGTTTTCGCTCTCGAAGTCGCAATATGTCGCAATTCTGAATCGATGCCCGAGGAACACCCTGTTGCTGCGAAGTCTCTTTTCTGACAGCGTGGCATGGCAGCAGATCCCATGGCAATTCCTGAACCATTGGAATTCCATGGAATTGCCATGTAATTATTGTAATTGAGCCCAGAATATCTTCAAAGACAACACCTTTTCACAAATTTCAGTCGTAAAAAAAATGGTTTCTGAAAAAGTATACAGGGAAGCTGCGAAGCTGAGAGTAAAGCTCTGCAAAATTCGATCCATGTCTATCTATGTGGAGTTCCTGCCTCAGTGATTGTATCCATGCCATGTGTGGTACATACGTATATGATACATTATGATTATGATACAATATATGATCACATTGCAAGATTAGAGCTAGATGTTCTGGTGACATACATGGTGCACATTACATATAGTCAATATCCACCATGAAGAAGTACAATTTTACGACCACCACCACCACCACCATCACCACCACCACCACGACGACCACCACCACGACGACCACCACCACCACCACTACCACTATTTACTATGGTGTGCAATATGAATAGGTGATTACACGAAAATCTACCATCCATGGTTGTTTATTCACAGGCAGAACTGGTGACAGATCTGTCCAGCTGGCATCCGGTCTTCTGGCCCTGCATCATGCTCTTTGCTCCTAGGCTGAGGTTGAACTGGCGAGGAAAGGATGGATTTGGTTGATGCTGGTTATTTTTTTTAAGACTATAGACTATAGAAATTCTTTGCAGATTTGAGGAACAGAGATGAGGGAAAGTCTGGTTTGCATTTGCATGCACTGTTTAAAGAGTAGAATCAGCGACCAGCACAGATTGACAGGGTAGTACCTCGAAAAGCAGGTCTTGAGACGGGCATAGTTCATGGAATGAAAGCGACGAAGAGCATATCTCCCATTTTAACCCTTGCTAGCTGAGATATATCCCATGTTCGTGGGTTGAAATCACCATGCTGAATTTCCAGTACCTAAGTATCAGTAACTGGCTGTTGATGAGACCACAAAATTAAGAGCTCCTGAGCCGCTGAGCCGGTGGCTGATCCAAGAAGCACAAAAATCATGAGCCAGCGACCTCTGAGAATGGCCCATCAATACAACCATAAACCATCCATAAACCCAATAGTTGAGATTAGATGATTACTTGCTATCAACATCTATCAACTACAAACTGAACTATGAAATCTATGAGCTGGCTCATTGGAAGATTGGAACTGTCATTCGTCGATATGAAACGTACCCCGCATGAACATGGGCCTGCAACATGAATGGATCCAACACTGAAGCTTACTGTGATCAACTTTGAACCGCCAAATCGCTTGAACTTAGTTTATCATTATTGTTATAATTAGATATAATTAGAATATCATGTGTTTTTTATTAACATTATTGTTAAAATTAGAAGATAATGTATTTTATGGTGATTGTGGTTCCCTATCATATGCGCCATGGTGAAGACTTGGACTATATTCTCATACTGGGGGATGGCCATCCCTATTGCTGTGGGATTTTCCAGTGCCATGTGACTGATGACACCGGAGGATAAATCCATTAATCACCATGATGAACCATTTTATGAATCATTATGAATCATGAATATAACCATAAATAACATTAAATAACCGTTATGAATGTTATTCTATAAAATCATCACCGGAGGGTTCTTCGCATCTTTTGATCATGGTACTAATATGCAACTGCCAGGTGCTGATCACTTCGGCACCTTGGAAAAACCATGGTCTGTGGGTCTGTCCAGGATGTGTTTCGTTCGGGCTTTTGGTATTTGTTCTTTCAATGTGCAACAAATACGAAGGATTTCAACAGGAAAAAAACATTGGATTTTGCAGGACAGCTGGGGTTTGAACAAGGATCTGAGAATAGTTTTTGTTTTTGAATTCGCTAGCAACTAGCAAATGTGCGTTCCATGACTTTCAAATTTCGTCATGAGGGTGTTGTGGAACTCCTGAAAGCAAGCCGCGCATCTGGCATGGTTGGCATGTGTTGGCATTGTTGGATGTATTCCCATGGGTTTTGGTCGATGGCCCTATAAGCATCATTAGGGTCGGCCATCAAGCCATAGGCCCTCTTTGGGATGGCTCACCGCCGGTGAGTTTCAACTCATCAGTTAAATGCACGGTATACTATATTAAAAGATACATCTAAGATCTAAGACCATATAAGTTATAAGTATATATACATATATATATATATATCACATATAGATATATACCTAGTATATATGTATACATGACACGACGCGACATTACATTACATGACCTGACCTGACATGACATATATATATACATATCTATAGACATACACATCCATATGCGTACACAGTTTCTATCACTTATGATCACCTTCACTCAGCGTGGACGGCATCCCATGACCTTGGCTGGGTCGGTGTCAAAACCTCGGGTCGCCTATTTTCCCTATGGACCCATTGAGGTCACCATGATGTACATGCTGATGGGTGTCATGGTGACCATGCTGCATGAAACCAAGGATGGGGAGAGTTTGAGCAATGAACTTGAGCAGCGAAGCAACCTCAAAAAGGACCCAACTGTGGCAAAATAGAATAGGCAACACACATATACAGATAGATAGATAGATAGATAGATAGATAGACAGACAGACAGACAGACAGACAGATAGATAGATAGATAGATATACACATATAATCACATATATGGATATTATGACATTGCATAATGCCAACTGCAATGTCCATCTATGTTTGTTGGTCACAACCATGTGCACCCTGAATTGGTAGATGAGTTCATCCCGTCGACTTGTCGATGTGTTTCCAACGGTTTTGCGGAGAGCCGAGTAGATGCTGACAACAAATTCACTCATTCTGGGAACAAACAAGTCTATATGTATACGTCTGTATTTATAGATCTTAATCTTAAGTGTCCATAATAATATCTATACATATATGTATATAATGTGTATATTATACACATACATATATATATATATAAGAATACACTCTATCTCCATGCTTGTTTCATTCCTACGCTTGCTGTTTCAACTCCCGAACTTGGGGAATAAACTCTGCATACAGTTTTTGGGTTAAAGGGTCTCTAAATCTTGTCAAATCATTGCGTTAAGAACGCTTAGTCGATGATTTGCAGGGGGTTACACTGCTCAATATTTATTTTGGAATATCACTGCTCCACATGTTTGTTCTATCCCATGGGGTATACACTCCAATCATTGGAAGACTGGGAATCCACCACGAATCAACTGATCATCTCATACCCTGGCACCAACATGGACATCCATTGGTTAAGAGGGATTACTATAGTTGGTTAGCAGGGATGTTGTAGTAGCAGTAGTAGTAGTTGTTGTTGTTGTAGTTGTTGTAGTTGTTGTAGTAGTAGTTGTTGTTGTTGCTGTAGTAGTAGTAGTAGTAGTAGTAATAGTAGTAGTAGTAGTAGTAGTTGTAGTTGTAGTAGTTGTAGTTGTTTTTGTTGTTTTTGTTGTAGTAGTCAATAGTTATTATTATTATTAGTAGTAGTACTAGTAGTAGTAGTAGTAGCAGTAGTAGCAGTAGTAGTTGTAGTGGTTGTAATAGATGTAGTAGTAGTAGTAGTAGTAGTAGTAGTAGTTGTTGTTGTTGTTGTTGTTGCTGCCATCATCTCCATGAGTGAATTCAGATGAAATCCGGTCAAGTCCTCATATCTTTCGTACGATCTCCCTCTGAAAGGGGCATCCGAACGATAGGAAAGTTGGTATTAGTTGTGACAATAACATGGGTTTCAATGGAAAACTAGTGTTTCAATGGAGTTATATCCATAATATTCCTTAATATGGTTGTTATAATGATAATTGGTATGATTGTTTCTTGAAATTCAGGACCCCCAACGTCACCATGGGTTTCAATACTAAAATCGGCTTCCAAATGGATGATTTGCTGAGAATGCTTCGGCTTCCTGAATCAGCAAATAATGGGTTGTCCAAACATGGAGTATCCCCTTTCGTGATTTTGGGGAAAATGATGGTATACCATGGGATTTGAGGATTACCACGTTGACTATACATGATCCCGCTGTATCCCCATGATACCCCCACAATGGTTCAATCCGTCATATAACATAATATAACATATGGGTCACATTCCCAGTTATCACCCGAAAAGTCATATTCTTACGTATCCGTATCATGGATGAAATATCCCCATGATATTCACATAAAATATCCCCATTAGAATCATGATTTCAACCTAGATTTAGGATACATAAACCGGAACCACAGTTGAAAATAGTTGAAATGGATACCGTTGACTGGTTATTCAAATAGATTTATGTTATTCAACCACTTAAAATTCAGATGGTTATTTAACCATTTGATTTATTAAACCAACTTGTCTGGTTATGTTTATTCAACCACTTTACCCTCTGGTAATTTGTTACAGTTTGCTATTGAAAATGACCCAGTCGAAATAGCTGATAACTTCCCATTAAACATGGTGATTTTCCATCGTTTTTTGTATGTTTACCAGGGGGTAATAAACATCTGTTGACTAGTTGCATCTCCCATGCACTGAGGTGAACGTCATCGACATCGTGGCTGCCTCGGAACGCGAGGGCCTGGCAGTGTCCACGGTGGCGCTGAACCTGCGACAGGTGGGCGTGGAGAGAAAACGTCTACATAGATGTGGGAAACCCATGGTTTCCCTGGGAAAATATGATCTATGTCCATGAATGATCGATTTTTCACATCTATATAGACGTTGATCTGAGGGTAGCCATGAAAAATGGAGGTTTATTTGTCAAGGATTTAAGCATGAACATGTGTCGATTCAACCAACGGAAATGTCGATTTAAACATCACAAGCGGCCATTTAACCATCAAATATGGCTGGGTAAAACCAGTTCCAAACTGAATTTCAATTTGGAGTTCCTAAGCTCCAAAAGTGCCTGTTTCATCATGGGTTCATGGCACAACACATCCACAAAAGGTGGAACAAAAATAGGTGACCAACAAAGTCAGCCTTGAGGCCCGGCGCGTGTTTTGCGGCGCCGGGAAGACGCTAAGCCGTCTTGTGTTGCTACCGGGCCCTGAACATGTTCATTCCTTAGTGGATTAGAAGCAGCAACTTTCTTTGAATCTTTTCAAGATTTCTACACGCCCTAGTCTGGACCCCAAAACTGTAAGAAACATTCTACAGATTTATATAGATGAAATTGGGCCCCCATTTTGGGCCTTGCCCAGTAGCAGCGCAAGCCCGCAAACATGCTGTTTCGTTTGTCTTGGGGGTTGAAAAGGCCGTGAAACTTGAAACAGGCGCTTTTGGAGAGTTCAAAAAATAGATTGGAACTATAATTATTTGTTCCATACTTTTTCCCCTGGAATTGCCCTAAAAATTCAAAACAAAGCATCAACACGTACGTATCACCAGCCGCGCAGGTCATGAAGCGAATGGGCATCAGCACCGAGACTTGGCGATGGCCCAACAACTTTCAGAAGAAAAGCCACGAGATCTGAAACGTTGGGTTTAGGGCTACCCATGGCTACCCATGGCTACCCGTGGCTACCCTATTTTCAGTCAATTATTTTTTGTTTTGTACCAACATGTTTGGGATCATGTGCAGTAATCTCGTACAGTAGACGCTAGCAGCATTGGGAAGTGTTATTCCAGCTGACTTTGCGGTGTGGACTGAAGTAACAAACTATTGTAGGATCTTTCTAACGAACTAATCCGGATATCATGATTATGGGCATGGATCAAGAATAGGCGCCCAACACATTTGGAAGGTTTAAAGTCCAGCAACCAATTTATTTCTTTGATGGTTCCATGATGTTCCATGTTCTTATATAATTCTGAAAACATCGACATGGGCTGGTGATCCTTACTTCTTCAAGTGTAAAAAGGCAACCCAGATTCCAAGTTTGCAACTGGGCTACCCCCAACTACATTCGTTGATCATCATGTTTGCTGTTTATTTAGGGCCATCAGTTTTGGGGTTTAAACATCAATTGTTGGGGCCCATTCCCTCGTGACAAAGCCATAAAAAGGAAGGTCCCATCTCCAAAGCGGCGATCAACGAGTTGCTGCTTGAAGCGGAGGTGGTGAATTTCCTGTGCCCTGCTTCGTGTTTCTGGGGTAACAAGCCACTGGTAAAAAGCATAATTACTGAAGGCAGGGGACTTATTAACCACGGTTGTTAATGAGGTATTAACTGGATACCCTCAGGTAATTCAACATAGCTATTGAACAATGGCCATAGAAATAGTTGATTTACCGACTAAAAATGGTGATTTTCTACAGCTATGTTAGTTGATTGGTGCCCAAGATGACCTGAGTATTACCAAGAATCCAAACATCGCCAGGTTTTGAATGGAGATGATGATAAACCATGGATCTGGGTAAAATTATAAGTAAATTATAACGACCTCACTGTTCTCCCGAACCCTGGAATACTGGTTTTTATAGGGAAATCACCCCCACATGGTCTTAATTCAGGTTCGTGAAATATTACCCTCTGGTTATTTGACATAGCCATGGGAAATGGCCCATTTATAGATGGTTTACCGTTTACCTATTAAAAATGGTGATTTTCCATGGCTATGTTAAATTACCAGATGGTACGTATAATTTACCCGGATGGATGATGTTGGGGTTTTCCATGGTTTCCCTTTTTTTTTTCAGACAAAAACCCATGAAGGTTTGGTGTCAAGATGTTGACTGCATCTGAAGGTGATGTTTTTAGTACTGTTACACTCTTACGTCAGGATTGGTGTTGAAACCTGGTTCATGAAATTGGCGGGAGGGCGATCATTTTACTATAGGTTATGATGTTGTGATATATCATGCCATATTATTCATATGATGTGTATATATATATATTTGCTTATTTTGACATATCATGAATCATTATGAAATATGCATATTTATTTTGTTATATTACGAATTGTTTATATATAATATATATATATATTTTGGGATGTTTTGGTATAGTTTGATATATTTTGATGTATTTCGATATATGTTGATTTATTATGACATATCATATTATGATATATCATGGTATATTATGCCTTATATATTCTGCTATATTATGTTACAGTATGCCATGATACACTATGATTTTTAGGGAATAATGCCCCGAAGCAATGAACTATGGTGAAGAACATACGTAGTTGACATCGCCTTTAAACATCCTGGGCCAGTGGTCTTGCTGATTGAAATACCCACTGGGTGAGTGCTTTTGGTTCAGTCAGAGTTTAATGATGAAGTTGGGTACATATTTGTTTTGGCTCAATGTGAATAACAAACCATCTGATTCTTAAAAGTTAAGTCGACCACTGGTTTTTGACCTTGGATTATTTGGTTTCGCTTTGATTTGTGTATTTTTTGGAGGTTTTCAAACAACTGATTCCCTATGTCTTTTGATGTGGTGCTTTATCGACCCTCCAGGTACGGTGTGGACGTGGACGTTGTCTCCTTGGTTGAAGCTTGGTAGCTCCAAGTTGCAGGAGGTCAAACTTTTGGGATAGGCAGCAAAAGTTGGAATTCCATCCAGAAAATTTGATACCTGGTTTGTTTGATGCTGAAAGGTTGAAATACTGCTAGTGAATTGCATTTTGCGATGTTAGCTACTGAACTAGTGAATTGCATTTTGCGATGTTAGCTACTGAACTAGTGAATTGCATTTTGCGATGTTAGCTACTGAACTAGTGAATTGCAATTTGCAATGATTGGCATCTTTTCAGGGTTTGCAATGTTATTGGAAGCACGGGATCTTGTTTTGTGCAAAGCCACCATCTATGCCGACCCAGATCTGGCCCCATATCTTTACGATCATCCCATTTTTTGCCTCAGTCAGGTCCACATGTTCGTTGGCTTTAGTTTAGTCATATTCAGTCCCCATGTCTTTGGGCTACCACCCTTTTGATGATGGTTTGAAACACATTGTCTGCATGTTTGGTTTCAGAATCAGTATTTTGGTTGGTTATCTAAAGTTATCTATATAAGTTTGAATTAATAATTCTTGCATTATCTTGCATTATATATCACACTGTACAGAAGTGTTTTCATTATACATGAATATATGGGTGCAAATGGGTAGAGGAGTTACTAGAAGAGATTAATATTGATCACAATATCTTAGCAAAACCATGCATAGTGCTTTTGTGGGGTATCCCCCATGTTCAGACACTTATATATATAATTATATATATATATATGGTTGTTGGTTTTGAACATTTTTTATTTTTCCATATATTGGGAAGAATCATCCCAACTGACTTTCATATTTTTCGGAGGGTTTGAAACCACCAACCAGATATATATATATATAATGTTGTTGGTTATCAAATTTCATTCAATCTAATCCATGCATACATACTTATCATATTTTTCTTCGTAAAAATCACCGAAAAAAATAGAATGGTTAAATTTAAGCACATGGTTGGTGATATTCCCATGATATTCCCATTAATTCATGCATTTTTTTGCACAATATGACGTTATTCTTTATTTGAAGATGAACACATGTCTTTGAACAGAAACCCATTCCATCCCATTCCTTTGAAGAGACTCTCCAGTCATCAAACAAGGTTAGCTGGGAAAATCAGCAAACTGACTGAATGGTGGGTTTTCCAGAAAGTCACGTTTGATTGCCGGAGTGTCATCAATATTTTGCAGATAGTATATATATATATATTATATTTAATTATATATATATATATACACGTTTGATTAAATATAATTGAACTAAAATCATATTTCATGGTGTTCAATCGCTTGTGCTTAGTAGGGAATTGGTGAATTTTATGATTGTTAATAATTATGGGCAATTTCCTCACTTCCTACTTTTAGCACCAGGAAGATACAGTTGTGGCCCTTAACAGTTATGGCCATTGGATTACAACTCCTGCAACTAAGGTGAACAATATCACTTCACCGAGGTTTTTTCAGCCAGTTACACCTTTTTCAGGGCTAGAACTGCATCTTACTTGCTGCTGAACGTAGGGAATGAGGGAATGACCCATAATAGTTTTACAATGTTTTACAATTATACAACTATTAACTATGGTTCTTAAACATTCTTAATCTATTAAGCAACATTTAAGCAACATGATCATCCGATTCCCCAAAAAAGCACCAGTGACTTGTCATTCCCGCCGTGTTATCATCCCAAGGAGATGATCGATCAGGTTTACGAAGATATCTTGGAACGCGAGGGCCGGCCACTGGAGTTTGGAGACCTGGTCCCTTGGCGCAACGAGGTTTTACCGTGACACCTTTGGATACGAAAAATGCTGGCTTTACCGAAGACGCTAAAAAAGAGGTTTAACCAATGAAATGGTGGTTTAACCAATAACAATTGCTGATGAAGCAATGAAACTGGAGATGGAGCTAAGAAGAATGGGGATTTCAACGAGCAAAACTTGTGACTGGGAAACAGTGGAATTCATGGTGAATTTATGATAGGTAAGTTGGTAAACGTGCTTGGGGGTGCATCCTTATTAGTAAGTGATCAATGACCCATATATTACCATTACTATCCCATAGGATCCATGTATGGTACATATGCTAACATTTGGGATATATGGATGGTAAATATTACCATATATAGCATACATGGATCCTATGGGTATTGGAATCTCCCACATATAAGGGAGATATGAGATGGTCGTTGCCCACTTACGAACTGGGATGGAGATCCAAGAAACTAGGCTAAGATTTCTGTTTATGCTTGGTACCCTAGGGTAAACGAACATAGATGTGGAAAATCAACCATTTGTAAGTTTTTTTCCCGGAGAAACCATTGGTTTTCCTATGTTATTTTACCCTAAGGTATACATATATATTCATATATATATATACTCTAATATATATATATACTCTAATAATATATATATATACAGAATATATATACATATACATTATATATATATACAGTATATATATACACAGTACATATATATATATATATATATATAAATATTTATACATATTAAATCAGATGGGGCCCCACTTCAAGCAACAACCATCACCGGCCGGCCCCTAGATCATCCCAGTAGGTACTGGCCTGGATGTGCCAGGCCCCAGAAATATATCTTGGTTGAGAATAACATGCTGATATGATGATATACCATGGAGAATGTATGGATATGGTGGACAAAAACATCGGATAACATGGTATAGATATAGGCCGTATCGGAAAATCAGAAGACTGAGAGAAATTGTTGGTGGCTTCAAGATATTGGACGATGATTCCCAACGACGTTCATAGGGGTTGAAAGCACCAGAGTGGTGACCAACAATGCAGCCAGTAGTTGATGGTGATCTCAGCCAGTAGTTGCATGATCGAAACATCATATACTCTTTCTGATTCCAACATCGGTGTGCTCAGCCTGTGGGTTTGTTTGATACTGTAGGGTACCCCGCAATCTCAAAGATCACACAACTTCCCCCCCGCAAGCAACAACGACAACAACAACCACCGAACACAACGCAACACATGGAATTTCACCCACGTGTGTCACGGCCTGGGGCGACCTCAACCGCAATTTGGTGACCTCCAACCGCAGATCGCCAGATCCAGACCATTTCTTTTTCAAAAGTCTGGCTATTTGATAATTAGAGCCCTAGATGCAGACTTGTATGTCAATGGATTGGTTTAAGGGAAAATTTACAGGAAAACCCCATATTTACTGGGAAAATCGATGGTTTCCTGTAGATTTTCCCTTAAACCAATCCATTGAGTATGAGCTGATTTGACCAAATGTTAAATATATAAATATTATCTGTATGCAATCCCTGTCCAATCTATTTTGGTGATGTCGGCATGCACCTAATCCTCCACCGAAATATCAAACACTCCACCAAACGAACCCCCGGGGGGAATGTATTGGATCTGTTCAGCATTGAGACCTTATCAAAGTGGGTATTTACTACTACAATTACCAGAATGCATGCATATGTTTTCCCCATATATTCTCCTTAAACGGTCATATCATCAGCCTTCATTTATCCAGAATCTAAGAAATGCCACAATCACTGCCAGATGTCCCTTTATCATGTAGTGATAAAACTCATTGATTTCCACACATCAGCTATCACTACCATCCAGTGAAACATCATTTTTTCCACCGCACAATTGCAGTGGAAATCACAACGAAGGTTGAGACGATCATGAATTTGCGCGGGAGCAACCCCGCAACCGTGCAGGACGGTGAAAACCAGAGGTCTTTCCAAGCGGATAGCAATTTTATGTAATTTTCTCTTCACGGTTCCATCATGTTCCACTTTTATTTTCGACAGCTAGAAGTTTGAGGCAATTTCAATGCACAAATTTAGTTTTTGCGCTCTGTGGAATGTTTTTGCAAGTCAAACCCTCTTTCGGCACCAGCTAGTTCCGCGTCTTTTGACTGTGTGGCCAAACATGAATCGCTAGTGCCGCTAGTGGATGGGGTGATGTCAAGGCACTTCTCCACGAGAAGTCAACTGCACATGGGCCATGTTAAGTTCCATCTTCTCTTGGTTCAACCTGATTGAATGATGTCGAACTGTTTTTTCATATGTTCACATGACTCACATGACATAAATTTCTTCATTTGTCGTTGATGTTTTTCTTTGATGCTTTGAAACATGTCACTGTCTTATTTTCCCACCAGGATTTGAAGGCCTCCATTCGGGCGGTGAAAATGGCCATGAGCATCGAGATGTGCCTTGGTCGAAACTTCTGTCTTTGTTGGGTTGAGTTAATAGCATATGGAGGTTTCCTCAAATTGGGGTACCCGCAAATCATCCATTTTACATGATTTTACAGGATTTTCCATTAACGATCCAGCTATTGGGGTACCTCCATTTATGGAACCCCCATATGCATCCATATGCCCATTCAAGGGGAAACTAAAATTTTCTCAACAATTGAATCTCTACCAGCTATCATGGCTTGTTGATTTTCCCAGCTAGAAATCATTAGAAACATCCATGGCTAGTTCGGGGATTTCCCAGCTTGCATTTTCGGGGGATATCATCGGATAAAAATCGCCAACAATGTATGATATCCTCCGGTGTCAAACGTGGACAAATTTTATGAACATTGGTTTAGTTCGTTGGGAAAAGAACATCAATTTACTGAAAAAAACGAACTATTGGGTGATTTGCCAGCCATGTGACTGTCAATGGATTGGTCTAAGGGAAAATATTAACCGGAAACCATCGATTTTCCCATTAAACCAATCCATCGAGACTGATCAACTGCCTTGCGGCCCCATCTGAAACCATGCAACGTCGAGCGCAAGAAGGAAACTAGAATTGGTTTATGCACCCATCCAACATCATCCAACTGTATTTATACATGTAAAATATATTAAAATATATACTTATATGTGTATATGCACTGTATATATATAAAATATATCTATAATATCTATATACTTGTATGTTGCCATGAATCCCGGTGAAGCTAGTTGGCATAAACCACCCAGTACATAGCTAGGAACCGCCCTTCTTGTGTAGATGTTCTGTTGGGTCAAACGAAAAGGACATCATTGGGTGACAGCACCCCAAGCATGAAGGATTTCATGAGCCAATGGATAAGGGCACCGATGGACATGTTGGGTCAAAGAGATTCCAGTAGAACCAATTTAATTCTTACAGTTTCTTACAGCTTCTTACAGCTTCTTACAACTGCACTTTTTGTTGCTCGGGTAAACAGTGCATGCAGTATCATGCAGTACATAAGCCTTGAACACATGCCAGGAACAAAGAGGTTCAGGCTCCAGACTCTTCACTTAAGGTATTTGACATGGAAGCAGAAACCACGGTCCTTGTCCTTTGTCGTATGATTTTACTATCGAAATTTATATATGGCTTGATGCGGCAAGTTGGGGGTTGATCAGGCACTGCAACGCAACGGTTTAGCTAGCGTTGGCAACATGGTTCATGTTGTTGGAGATGGAGATAGAGAATGGTCTAGAAATGTGTAAAGACTACACCCAAATCCCAGTTGCGTTCCATTAGGAAACTGAGGACACCCCAAACATGTCCAAACACCTCTCCCGTTAGGGACTTGTTGCGGCAAAGCTTACATGGCCAACTTCACTCGAAGCTTGGACGCAGGTCCCACCTTTTTGGTGTTGGGATCCTTGGCCCATGATCAAATTTCCTGGTCGATAGCTGCGCGAATCCTTTTGGCTCAGCTAAGTCGCAAGTAGTGGAACACTGCTTAGCGCGGTCTCATGTATGTTCAACATTGTTCAACCATGTTTGGGATGATGAAGATATTTGTGGGTGGCTCAACCACTAGATTGCTGGTATCGTCCCTACTTATTCCCTACTTTTTTTTGTTGCAATCTGTAACAACATCCGAGTCTTTCGCAAACTCAGAGATTGCAGGTATCCCTTTCTCAACAAAACCTGAAGTAACATCAGTTCCTTTTTTCCAAAATCAGGGCTGTGAAAATCAGTATAAGGTGAGGTGTCTCAATTATACAGAAGTTGGTTTATCAACCCCATAAAGTTTGATATATCGACTATAATCTACTATAATCTACTATGGCTATTAATATAGTTTATCAACTAGTATATGAGTTCGATGTACTGTAATACATTATAACACTGTATCTACTTTGATATATCCACCATTTCATTCGATGACTTTCCCAGCTATAAACCTCCGTCTCTAGGCATTTGACAACCAGCCAGATAATATCTACCATCAGCCATAGTGACTAAGTGAGTTGCCATGTCGGATCCAGAAGAGGATCTGGCCACCAAAGAGGAACGAATCGCCTGGCTGCGTGCGCGGGGCGTGCGCATCGAGGAACCTGGAACAACGGGCGGCTATGCAGGTGGGAAAACAGCGGAAAGTTGGGTCCAGAAATGAGCGATCGTTTAGATTTTTCAACCATGACCCAGAATTTATGGTCGCTAAATGCCATGAACAAATATTCGACAAATTGATGGAATATATGATAAACTGATAAACCATGATAAACTGCTGGATGTGTTTTGTTTTTTCCGAATTGTTTGGAGCCAAATGGATAGACACAGTGGTTTTACTGGTCAAGTAGGTAGAGATCAAGGTCTGTAGGAAAAACTTGGATAGCCCGATCAGTATATGTAGGTCGGTTCTGCTGTTTGTCGGTTTCACGAGGTAAGCGACTTCCCATGTCTAGTATTGTCCACCATTTACTCCTGGGTTGGTTGCTTCATGGGTACCTTTACTAGCCATCCACTGGTCACATTTTTTGGGGTGACCCCCCAATTAATCCCAATTCATCAGCCAGGATTTTGAGTTCCAGGGTTAAAATGAATTATTTACATTTACTCCCGTGAAATCTAACCTGGGCCAAAAAAAAATAAAAATAAAATTATCCCGCTACGTTAGCGTTCGGGATTTCCCGTTGAACAGCGCTAACATAGCAGCTGAAATCTTGCATGTTCATGGGGTGATTTTGATACTAACCTAACACCTGCCGCGCCTCCATCAGCACAAATTCCCAAAAGTGTCAAGTTAGTGTTCGTGCTGTGTTTGGGAACTTGGCGAATACTCCAAAGCTGGAACCACCAAATGGAAGGTGCTATGTTTGACTGGCACAACTGTTTTTGCATATCTTCCTGCGGCTCACTCTTACTGGACCCAAAAAAGCTTCAAAACGAACAATTTTACATAATAGATTGAATAAGGAAAAAAACTCCTGGTCGATGTTGCCAACCGGCTCCTTGCTGCCATGATGATATGATGTACTATTGGAGGTTTTGGGAACCCTGGGCAAATGCTATGTTAGCAATCCTGTTGCAAAACTCTGGTTGGATTGAAAATCATGACTGGCACAACTGTTTTTGCATGTCTTCCTGGGAGACTGGACCCAAAAAAAAACAACAATTTTCATAATGGATTGAAAAGGAAAAAAACCCTGGTCGATGTTGCCAATCTGGCTCCTTGCTGCCATGATGATTATGATGTACTATTGGAGGTTTTGGGAACCCTGGGCAAATGCTATGTTAGCAATCCTGTTGCCAAAACTCTGGTTTGGATTGAAAATCATGACTGGCACAACTGTTTTTGCATGTCTTCCTGGGGCTCACCCTTACTGGACCCAAAAAAGCTTCAAAACGACAGTTTTACATAATAGATTGAATAAGGAAAAAAACTCCTGGTCGATGTTGCCAATCTGGCTCCTTGCTGCCATGATGATTATGATGTACTATTGGAGGTTTTGGGAACCCTGGGCAAATGCTATGTTAGCAATCCTGTTGCCAAAACTCTGGTTTGGATTGAAAATCATGACTGGCACAACTGTTTTTGCATGTCTTCCTGGGGCTCACCCTTACTGGACCCCAAAAAGCTTCAAAACGAACAGTTTTACATAATAGATTGAATAAGGAGAAAACTCCTGATCGATGTTGCCAATCCGGCTCCTTGCTGCCATGATGATTATGATGTACTATTGGAGGTTTTGGGAACCCTGGGCAAATGCTATGTTAGCAATCCTGTTGCCAAAACTCTGGTTTGGATTGAAAATCATGACTGGCACAACTGTTTTTGCATGTCTTCCTGGGGCTCACCCTTACTGGACCCAAAAAAGCTTCAAAACGAACAGTTTTACATAATAGATTGAATAAGGAAAAAACTCCTGGTCGATGTTGCCAATCTGGCTCCTTGCTGCCATGACGATTATGATGTACTATTGGAGGTTTTGGGAACCCTGGGCAAATGCTATGTTAGCAATCCTGTTGCCAAAACTCTGGTTTGGATTGAAAATCATGACTGGCACAACTGTTTTTGCATGTCTTCCTGGGGCTCACCCTTACTGGACCCAAAAAAGCTTCAAAACGAACAGTTTTACATAATAGATTGAATAAGGAAAAAACTCCTGGTCGATGTTGCCAATCTGGCTCCTTGCTGCCATGATGATTATGATGTACTATTGGAGGTTTTGGGAACCCTGGGCAAATGCTATGTTAGCAATCCTGTTGCCAAAACTCTGGTTTGGATTGAAAATCATGACTGGCACAACTGTTTTTGCATGTCTTCCTGGGGCTCACCCTTACTGGACCCAAAAAAGCTTCAAAACGAACAGTTTTGACATAATAGATTGAATAAGGAAAAAACTCCTGGTCGATGTTGCCAATCTGGCTCCTTGCTGCCATGATGATTATGATGTACTATTGGAGGTTTTGGGAACCCTGGGCAAATGCTATGTTAGCAATCCTGTTGCCAAAACTCTGGTTTGGATTGAAAATCATGACTGGCACAACTGTTTTTGCATGTCTTCCTGGGGCTCACCCTTACTGGACCCAAAAAAGCTTCAAAACGAACAGTTTTACATAATAGATTGAATAAGGAAAAAACTCCTGGTCGATGTTGCCAATCTGGCTCCTTGCTGCCATGATGATTATGATGTACTATTGGAGGTTTTGGGAACCCTGGGCAAATGCTATGTTAGCAATCCTGTTGCCAAAACTCTGGTTTGGATTGAAAATCATGACTGGCACAACTGTTTTTGCATGTCTTCCTGGGGCTCACCCTTACTGGACCCAAAAAAGCTTCAAAACGAACAGTTCTACATAATAGATCGAATAAGGAAAAAACTCCTGTTCGATGTTGCCAATCTGGCTACTTGCTGCCATGATGATTATGATGTACTATTGGAGGTTTTGGGAACCCTGGACAAATGCGATGTTAGCAATCCTGTTGCCAAAACTCTGGTTTGGATTGAAAATCATGACTGGCACAACTGTTTTTGCATGTCTTCCTGGGGCTCACCCTTACTGGACCCAAAAAAGCTTCAAAACGAACAGTTTTTCATAATGGATTGAATAAGGAAAAAACTCCTGGTCGATGTTGCCAATCTGGCTCCTTGCTGCCATGATGATTATGATGTACTATTGGAGGTTTTGGGAACCCTGGGCAAATGCTATGTTGGCAATCCTGTTGCCAAAACTCTGGGTTGGATTGAAAATCATGACTGGCACAACTGTTTTTGCATGTCTTCCTGGGGCTCACCCTTACTGGACCCAAGAAAGCTTCAAAACGAACAGTTTTACATAATAGATTGAATAAGGGAAAAAACTCCTGGTCGATGTTGCCAATCTGGCTCCTTGCCATGATGATTATGATGTACTATTGGAGGTTTTGGGAACCCTGGGCAAATGCTATGTTAGCAATCCTGTTGCCAAAACTCTGGCTTGGATTGAAAATCATGACTGGCACAACTGTTTTTGCATGTCTTCCTGGGACTCACCCTCACTGGACCCAAAAAAGCTTCAAAACGAACAGTTTTACATAATAGATCGAATAAGGAAAAAACTCCTGGTCGATGTTGCCAATCTGGCTCCTTGCTGCCATGATGATTATGATGTACTATTGGAGGTTTTGGGAACCCTGGGCAAATGCTATGTTAGCAATCCTGTTGCCAAAACTCTGGTTTGGATTGAAAATCATGACTGGCACAACTGTTTTTGCATGTCTTCCTGGGGCTCACCCTCACTGGACCCAAAAAAGCTTCAAAACGAACAATTTTACATAATGGATTGAAGAAGGAAAAATCTCCTGGTCGATGTTGCCAATCTGGCTCCTTGCTGCCATGATGGTTATGATGTACTATTGGAGGTTTTGGGAACCCTGGGCAAATGCTATGTTAGCAATCCTGTTGCCAAAACTCTGTTGAAAACCATGACTGGCACAACTGTTTTTGCATGTCTTCCTGGGACTCACCCTCACTGGACCCAAAAAAGCT